ACAGCCGGCCAACAGCCGGAGCCGCACGCCGCGCTCGAACACCGCCCGGCGCAGCCGCTCGTCGATGGCCGGCCAGAAGCGCTCGGGCCGCCGGAACTCGGTGCCGGGCAGGTAACTCATCACCGCCACGTCCAGCCAGCGCTCGGCGCCGTCGATGGCCCCGAGCAGCGCCGACAGGTCCGGCGTGCGGCCGGCGGCGCAGAGCGGCGGTGGGGAGCTCTGATGGGGGGAGACAAGAGGTGGTGACCCCCCCTGAGCACCCCCGCGTGACCAGAGTGACCACCCGAGCACCCCCGCGTGACCAGAGTGACCACCCGAGCACCCCCGCGTGACCAGAGTGACCACCCGAGCACCCCCGCGTGACCAGAGTGACCACCCGAGCACCCCCGCGTGACCAGAGTGACCACCCGAGCACCCCCGCGTGACCAGAGTGACCACCCGAGCACCCCCGCGTGACCAGAGTGACCACCCGAGCACCCCCGCGTGACCAGAGTGACCACCCGAGCACCCCCGCGTGACCAGAGTGACCACCCGAGCACCCCCGCGTGACCAGAGTGACCACCCGAGCACCCCCGCGTGACCAGAGTGACCACCCGAGCACCCCCGCGTGACCAGAGTGACCACCCGAGCACCCCCGCGTGACCAGAGTGACCACCCGAGCACCCCCGCGTGACCAGAGTGACCACCCGAGCACCCCCGCGTGACCAGAGTGACCACCCGAGCACCCCCGCGTGACCAGAGTGACCACCCGAGCACCCCCGCGTGACCAGAGTGACCACCCGAGCACCCCCGCGTGACCAGAGTGACCACCCGAGCACCCCCGCGTGACCAGAGTGACCACCCGAGCACCCCCGCGTGACCAGAGTGACCACCCGAGCACCCCCGCGTGACCAGAGTGACCACCCGAGCACCCCCGCGTGACCAGAGTGACCACCCGAGCACCCCCGCGTGACCAGAGTGACCACCCGAGCACCCCCGCGTGACCAGAGTGACCACCCGAGCACCCCCGCGTGACCAGAGTGACCACCCGAGCACCCCCGCGTGACCAGAGTGACCACCCGAGCACCCCCGCGTGACCAGAGTGACCACCCGAGCACCCCCGCGTGACCAGAGTGACCACCCGAGCACCCCCGCGTGACCAGAGTGACCACCCGAGCACCCCCGCGTGACCAGAGTGACCACCCGAGCACCCCCGCGTGACCAGAGTGACCACCCGAGCACCCCCGCGTGACCAGAGTGACCACCCGAGCACCCCCGCGTGACCAGAGTGACCACCCGAGCACCCCCGCGTGACCAGAGTGACCACCCGAGCACCCCCGCGTGACCAGAGTGACCACCCGAGCACCCCCGCGTGACCAGAGTGACCACCCGAGCACCCCCGCGTGACCAGAGTGACCACCCGAGCACCCCCGCGTGACCAGAGTGACCACCCGAGCACCCCCGCGTGACCAGAGTGACCACCCGAGCACCCCCGCGTGACCAGAGTGACCACCCGAGCACCCCCGCGTGACCAGAGTGACCACCCGAGCACCCCCGCGTGACCAGAGTGACCACCCGAGCACCCCCGCGTGACCAGAGTGACCACCCGAGCACCCCCGCGTGACCAGAGTGACCACCCGAGCACCCCCGCGTGACCAGAGTGACCACCCGAGCACCCCCGCGTGACCAGAGTGACCACCCGAGCACCCCCGCGTGACCAGAGTGACCACCCGAGCACCCCCGCGTGACCAGAGTGACCACCCGAGCACCCCCGCGTGACCAGAGTGACCACCCGAGCACCCCCGCGTGACCAGAGTGACCACCCGAGCACCCCCGCGTGACCAGAGTGACCACCCGAGCACCCCCGCGTGACCAGAGTGACCACCCGAGCACCCCCGCGTGACCAGAGTGACCACCCGAGCACCCCCGCGTGACCAGAGTGACCACCCGAGCACCCCCGCGTGACCAGAGTGACCACCCGAGCACCCCCGCGTGACCAGAGTGACCACCCGAGCACCCCCGCGTGACCAGAGTGACCACCCGAGCACCCCCGCGTGACCAGAGTGACCACCCGAGCACCCCCGCGTGACCAGAGTGACCACCCGAGCACCCCCGCGTGACCAGAGTGACCACCCGAGCACCCCCGCGTGACCAGAGTGACCACCCGAGCACCCCCGCGTGACCAGAGTGACCACCCGAGCACCCCCGCGTGACCAGAGTGACCACCCGAGCACCCCCGCGTGACCAGAGTGACCACCCGAGCACCCCCGCGTGACCAGAGTGACCACCCGAGCACCCCCGCGTGACCAGAGTGACCACCCGAGCACCCCCGCGTGACCAGAGTGACCACCCGAGCACCCCCGCGTGACCAGAGTGACCACCCGAGCACCCCCGCGTGACCAGAGTGACCACCCGAGCACCCCCGCGTGACCAGAGTGACCACCCGAGCACCCCCGCGTGACCAGAGTGACCACCCGAGCACCCCCGCGTGACCAGAGTGACCACCCGAGCACCCCCGCGTGACCAGAGTGACCACCCGAGCACCCCCGCGTGACCAGAGTGACCACCCGAGCACCCCCGCGTGACCAGAGTGACCACCCGAGCACCCCCGCGTGACCAGAGTGACCACCCGAGCACCCCCGCGTGACCAGAGTGACCACCCGAGCACCCCCGCGTGACCAGAGTGACCACCCGAGCACCCCCGCGTGACCAGAGTGACCACCCGAGCACCCCCGCGTGACCAGAGTGACCACCCGAGCACCCCCGCGTGACCAGAGTGACCACCCGAGCACCCCCGCGTGACCAGAGTGACCACCCGAGCACCCCCGCGTGACCAGAGTGACCACCCGAGCACCCCCGCGTGACCAGAGTGACCACCCGAGCACCCCCGCGTGACCAGAGTGACCACCCGAGCACCCCCGCGTGACCAGAGTGACCACCCGAGCACCCCCGCGTGACCAGAGTGACCACCCGAGCACCCCCGCGTGACCAGAGTGACCACCCGAGCACCCCCGCGTGACCAGAGTGACCACCCGAGCACCCCCGCGTGACCAGAGTGACCACCCGAGCACCCCCGCGTGACCAGAGTGACCACCCGAGCACCCCCGCGTGACCAGAGTGACCACCCGAGCACCCCCGCGTGACCAGAGTGACCACCCGAGCACCCCCGCGTGACCAGAGTGACCACCCGAGCACCCCCGCGTGACCAGAGTGACCACCCGAGCACCCCCGCGTGACCAGAGTGACCACCCGAGCACCCCCGCGTGACCAGAGTGACCACCCGAGCACCCCCGCGTGACCAGAGTGACCACCCGAGCACCCCCGCGTGACCAGAGTGACCACCCGAGCACCCCCGCGTGACCAGAGTGACCACCCGAGCACCCCCGCGTGACCAGAGTGACCACCCGAGCACCCCCGCGTGACCAGAGTGACCACCCGAGCACCCCCGCGTGACCAGAGTGACCACCCGAGCACCCCCGCGTGACCAGAGTGACCACCCGAGCACCCCCGCGTGACCAGAGTGACCACCCGAGCACCCCCGCGTGACCAGAGTGACCACCCGAGCACCCCCGCGTGACCAGAGTGACCACCCGAGCACCCCCGCGTGACCAGAGTGACCACCCGAGCACCCCCGCGTGACCAGAGTGACCACCCGAGCACCCCCGCGTGACCAGAGTGACCACCCGAGCACCCCCGCGTGACCAGAGTGACCACCCGAGCACCCCCGCGTGACCAGAGTGACCACCCGAGCACCCCCGCGTGACCAGAGTGACCACCCGAGCACCCCCGCGTGACCAGAGTGACCACCCGAGCACCCCCGCGTGACCAGAGTGACCACCCGAGCACCCCCGCGTGACCAGAGTGACCACCCGAGCACCCCCGCGTGACCAGAGTGACCACCCGAGCACCCCCGCGTGACCAGAGTGACCACCCGAGCACCCCCGCGTGACCAGAGTGACCACCCGAGCACCCCCGCGTGACCAGAGTGACCACCCGAGCACCCCCGCGTGACCAGAGTGACCACCCGAGCACCCCCGCGTGACCAGAGTGACCACCCGAGCACCCCCGCGTGACCAGAGTGACCACCCGAGCACCCCCGCGTGACCAGAGTGACCACCCGAGCACCCCCGCGTGACCAGAGTGACCACCCGAGCACCCCCGCGTGACCAGAGTGACCACCCGAGCACCCCCGCGTGACCAGAGTGACCACCCGAGCACCCCCGCGTGACCAGAGTGACCACCCGAGCACCCCCGCGTGACCAGAGTGACCACCCGAGCACCCCCGCGTGACCAGAGTGACCACCCGAGCACCCCCGCGTGACCAGAGTGACCACCCGAGCACCCCCGCGTGACCAGAGTGACCACCCGAGCACCCCCGCGTGACCAGAGTGACCACCCGAGCACCCCCGCGTGACCAGAGTGACCACCCGAGCACCCCCGCGTGACCAGAGTGACCACCCGAGCACCCCCGCGTGACCAGAGTGACCACCCGAGCACCCCCGCGTGACCAGAGTGACCACCCGAGCACCCCCGCGTGACCAGAGTGACCACCCGAGCACCCCCGCGTGACCAGAGTGACCACCCGAGCACCCCCGCGTGACCAGAGTGACCACCCGAGCACCCCCGCGTGACCAGAGTGACCACCCGAGCACCCCCGCGTGACCAGAGTGACCACCCGAGCACCCCCGCGTGACCAGAGTGACCACCCGAGCACCCCCGCGTGACCAGAGTGACCACCCGAGCACCCCCGCGTGACCAGAGTGACCACCCGAGCACCCCCGCGTGACCAGAGTGACCACCCGAGCACCCCCGCGTGACCAGAGTGACCACCCGAGCACCCCCGCGTGACCAGAGTGACCACCCGAGCACCCCCGCGTGACCAGAGTGACCCCCCTGACCCCCCAAACCCCCCCGGTACCCCGGTACCCACCACCTCCACGCGGAACCCCGCGCGCTCGTCGTTGACGGCGGCCAGCGACCTGAGGAAGGGGAACATGTCGTGGCGGCTGTGCGGCCAACAGCCGGCCAACAGCCGCAGA